CCTTCCTTCCTTCCTTCCTTACTTCCTTCCGATAAGGAAGTATCTGATTTGTGTGTGACAGTTTTAATTTGAATAACTTAGGTGGAAAAGTAAGAAGCACCAGTTTCTGTTCAGCCAATCAGAGCCTCCTATTTTCTGCCCAGTGATTCTGGACCCCTGCGCCTCGCCAGAACACCATCACCACCAGACGATGAGAGTCCACCAGAGAGTCCAGAAGCCAGCTCCAACCACATGCTTCGCCCAGTTTCCCCCGGACCGCCTCGACCCAAATCTCCAATCCAGGTAACGTGATTCCAGGTGAGGACGGGGGGGTCCATGCCATGGAAAAACTGGAATGACAGGAAGGGAACTAATGGAAAAACTGGAATGACAGAAAGGGAACTAATGGAAAAACTGGAACCACGCTTCCAAGAGAAAGTGTAGGGTTTTATTTTATAAAAGCAGTCCTTTGGTTCCTCAGTGATGGGGAAAGCTGTCAGGTCATTACTACCTAGATCTGTTTGGAACAGATTAGGAACCCATCCCCCCCTGGGTTTCTCCTCAGTTAGCTGGAGGCTAACGGTTAGCTGTTAAATGTAGATCCTGGCCACAGCTGCCTGACAAAGACAGGTCCTGGTTCCACGGGTGTTCCAGAATATTTAGTGTTTACTGATAAATGACAGACTGATTGATGAAGATGATTGCTGGCTGTTTGCTCTGAACTCTCCGACTGTTTTTTCTTCTCTGCTGACTGTTGTCTGTCACTCGGTGAGTTCACTCACATTCTGTGTAGTCTGTCTGTGTTTTAGTCTTGTTTGTTGTGCATGTGAATGTTGTTTTGATTAAAGCTTCTAGATGGGGTCACCAATTAAAAATCAGCGAATAAAGAAAATCATCAACCAGTAAAGGTCCGCAGACATTTTAATCATCTGTTTCTTTAAACAGAATTTAACACTGAAATAAAAAGCAGATATTCATGTATCCATGTTATACATAAAAAAAAAATTGAAGTAGAGAACAACAATCGTTCAGTTTGGTTTATAGATAATTTCCTGGTTTCT